GGTAGGTGGTGACCGACTCCCTATGAATGCCGTTGATCACTCGTCGGTACGTAGTCGAAAAGATGCCTTCTAACGTGACGGGGAGGAGGTTCTTCCTCAAGCCGGGGTCTGTTGATGGGCTCACGCTTATGGCATCCTAACAGAAACTGTACGCTGAGAATTTTGTTATGCTCCCTTACGGGAAGCAGGCTTGACTGTATAGGTAGTGCTCAGGCGACATCAGAAGGTATCCCGTCGATATCCTGAGTGCCGCGTTCTGCCAAGTCTGTAGCTGCTTTCACTGTGTCCAACTTATCCCCGGCGGCCAAACAGGCATACTGGATCCAAATTGTTGAAAGTTGGTACGCGAAGTATAATTCTGGCATAAAATAAGACAGTTATGAAATTTTTTTGAAAATGGGCGTGGCACCACCCACTAATGAAGAAATGCTGTATCTCTGTAGTCCCTTCAACAGTCACCACCAAACTCGGTACGAACATTACTTAGAGCCTCACTAAGAAACCCTTTGAAAATTTCTGAAATCAGACAAGAACCACGCCCACCTCCCATATAACAAGTATATAATTTAGAGAAAACTGCGATAAATGAGTAACTATTTAAGCTAATTAAGTCAAAATCGATATATTCAATGACCTCTCAGCACAAAATGCTACATAGGGAAATTTTTTGGGCGTGGGACCGCCCACTTACGCCTACATATATATGTGTATCTCAGTAACCGGTTTATAAATTTCTACCAAACTTGGTATATTTATCAACCTAGGTTCAAAAAAGCGATACGTTGAAAATTTTTGATATCGGATTTAAATTACCGCCACCTACCATATAACGGTAAATTTCAGAAATACCAAAATTCCGATATTTCAATAACTAACACGCCAACTTACAGCAAATCTCTTAACAAGACATAATATTATTGATATTTGTAAAATGGGCGTGGCATCATTTGAAATCCCTATCCCCTGACATTCTGAAGTCGACTTTATTTTAATGAAATTTGCATGTGGTAAAAGG